TTTTGAATCCACGTAGTTTGAGGACAATACCCAACATTTCCACCAAATAAGACCTCTCCTTTAATTCTTTTCATTTCGTCAGATGACATCAATTAAATCAAATGCTTATATTATAACAATTTTGATTATGTGGGTATCAAAAAAACTCGAATATATGATGATTACGTTAATTAATAACAAAAAGCATGTTTTTATCGGAATAATCCGGTCTGACATCAAAGTTGAATTTTACGTATTTATAAATGCAGTTTACATTATTGTTAAAGCTGAAACAGGATATGCAATTAATATTGTCACTATAAGCAGTTGAGTTGGTGCAGCTTAATGTTGACCGGTGGCTTCTCACCTGCATAATACCGGCTGGCTATCAACATGACCATGTGATATTTATGTATAATATGGAAATGGCAGATTTCCTTGAGAGAGAGGGCTGAGTCGCAAATTGAGATGGCTAGTATGGAATTAAAACTGTACTTTCCTCTGAATCAGCCGTTTTCTCACAGTATCCATTATTAAGATAGAATTACTGTATGCGAAAGGTCATTTAGAATCATACTCTTTCAGTAATCTTGATTATGCGGGATTGGTCCTGTTCCCGTTACTATTTTCACAGGGCACACTACCCTGCTTAGCTCTTTTTTGATCTGTTGGCTTTTGTCAACTCGAATGAAATTACAACGGATCGGTATGGTATAGGTGAGCAGATCCATATAGTACAGGCCCAATTTTTAAAAACTGCCTGCACTATGCCGATATTAATCAGCTATAATTTCTAACTCTAATATGTATATATATATAATACCGGATCAGTATAGTACAGTTTATAAATCGGCCTGTACTATACGGATCTGTTCACTTATGTCATAAAATCGCCGAATAATTTTTTCACATGGGTTTGTAATTTATAATTACTAAAACAGGTATAGGCATGGCGATTTTCATATCATCATTATGCAACCAAAAATTACCATTCTTTTTTAGTTAGTTTTATATGCGAAATTACAGATTTTTGCGCATGCATTATATGTAAAATTTATATGCAAAAATTACAACTTTTTCACACGCTATCACAAATTATGGGTTTACTAATTTCTCCCCATAGTTCCCTATTGGACGAAGAAAAATCCTATTTTTCGATCAACTAATGGAAACAGTATAAAGGTATAATAGATATATGCTATACTAAAATTTTGCAAGAAATTTTTTTTGTTAGAACACGATTTTTTTATGTTACACCTGATCTTATAATTTGATTGGTAGACGAAGAGTGGCGTAATCTACTTTGTCCAGTCAGAGACGACATTTACAAATGTTCAATCAGAACTGTGGGAAGAAATTAGGGATCCCCAAATTATTAGATTTGGCCAATTAGATCTCATAATGAATACATTTGCCATATAATTAAAAAATTTTATGCACTTTTTAATTATCGTGTATAAAACTTCTTATAATAAAATTATCGCCCATCACGAGTGTCCTATACATCATCAATTATTTCGTTCATGTGAAAACAAAGCGTACATTCTCAAATTATGTAAATTACTTATAAGAAATGCATATACTTATACGGATCCAGATTTTATGCACATGTATGCAAGATTGACCAATTAAATTGGATAAAGGGTACATTTGCATACGGGCATTATTTGATATATAAAAATATATATATATAAATATAAATATATATATAAATATATTATTTTTAATGTTATATATTATAATTAATAATAAAATAAAATAAAAAAAAATATAATATAATATTAGGAAAAATCATGTAATTTGATTACGGGTGAGCATGTGTTGACGAATTACTTCATATGAGGAAATGTGACCTGTGCAGGCATGTGACCTAGACAATTGCCAAATCCTGGTTTACCGGCCAGAAATTCCAGATCGGTCATATCTGGCAGAAAGGCCAGATTAGGGCTTATATCTTACATTAACATATCACAAACGCCTTGTTATAAATATATTATTTGTACACAATAAACTCTATACATCATAATCTAAAATTACATTCGTTAAGACTACACTAATGCCAAGCTACCCTGAGACTCTGCTTTACCACTTAGCCAAATCTAACACGCCTTTTTCGACCCTAAACTAAACCTAACTTCGGTTATGCATCATTTTCGTTGGAGCGACAAACTAGCCGAATTAAAACGAATTATCAATATCAAAAAAAATAGGTGCGAAATATCAGTTCCATTATTTTATTGACTAACTAATATAGACTTCCAGCATCACTTGCATTTATAGAAGTAAAGTCTATAAATGTCGGCATAAGTGGATGCATGCATTTATGGGTTGCATTATGGGTTTGACTGTATTTAGTGTTCAAAATAAGCCTTATCACGGCTTGCTGCGGCTTGAATGGCTTAGCACGCGATAAATTCGAATTTATCACATGCATATCCGGACTTGTAACTTTTTAAGTGACAAATTCGAACAAGTCACGTGTTAAATTCGAATTTATAACGGGATAAGCCATTTAAGCCGCAGCAAGCCGTGATAAGCCGACTTATTTTGAAACTAGACTGTATATTATTCAACACAAACTTAAAATAATAAAATAATTTTTTAAAAATCGATAGACTTTCTAATATTCGTAAAAATATATATATATATATATATAAAGTCAGGGACAAATTTTATTGTTTTTATTTTTTTTTTTTAGCATTGAGTTGATGCATTTTACGATTTATGATTTGATTTATTTTTGGCACTATTAAAATAATTACACATGTTTATTCTATATACTGAAATAACTTACTGTTATCCTGTTATTCTAAACCGAGTTATTTTTAAAACGAGTATTCGAACAAAAATTTCTTCTTTCCAATTGAATTAAGATAATGATATTTGAAAAGTCAAATCCTTTTCTTCCTCATCCAAACATTGAAATCCCCGAGGCAAAAGCCAATTTATTTTCCAAGCTTACCTTTTGGTGGCTTAACGATTTAATGAGCTTAGGCTATAAACGTCCTTTGGAAAAAGATGATCTGTACATTTTGAATGACAAAAGATCTGCTAAAAATGTTACAGATAAATTTGAAGCCGAATGGAAAAAAGAAACTCAAAAAATTGCGTTAGGAAAAAAACCATCGTTATTAAAAGCTCTATTTAGAGTTTTGTGGGCTAGATTTTGCTTTGCAGGTGTTGCTAGATTCGGTAGTGATATATTTGGAGTTATTTCACCTTTGATTTTAAAAGTATGTTTCACCTACGCTTGTATTTTTACATGATTAGTTATGCCATGTCCCGATGAAAAATTAATCTTTTAATATGTAGTTGATATTGAAATTTGTCTCTGACGCATACTTCGCCAACCTTAATAATAGTGTGCAACCAGCTGCACATGTTGGCTATATATTAATAATTGTCATGTCCTTAATGGAGACGGGTTTTTTCATTTTGCTTAACGTATACTTATATTATGTAATGGAAACCGGTTTTCTCTCTCGCACTATTCTCATAACAACTATTTATCGGAAAGCTTTAGTCTTAAGTGGAAAAGCTAGAAGCTTATTTACTAATGGAAAGATCACTAATCTAATGTCTACTGATACTACACGTATAGACTTTGCATGCGTTTACTTTCATGCGATTTGGGCCGCTCCTATACAAATTTGTATAGCATTAGGCTTATTAATGTCTAATATTGGACCATCTGCATTAGCTGGCTTTGCTATATTGGTGATATTGGGCCCTATGCAAGGAAAGGTTATGTCACTATTGGCACGTACCAGGGCTAAAGTCGCTGATGTTACTGATGAACGGGTAAAATTGACACAAGAAATTTTGACAGGGATTAGAGCGATTAAATGTTATGCTTGGGAAGATAGCTTTATAGATGCTCTTAATAAATTAAGAAATAAAGAGATTGGTTTGGTTAGGTTTTTGTTAGTTATTAGAGCTGCATTTACCGGTTTTTCAATGGTAATTTTCTTATAATCATTTTATATTTAGTTATTTTGGTATTTGTTTTATATTTTCATCTCTATAATTCTTATTTGTGCACGGTACTTTTTAGGTCTTTCCAGTATTCGCTAGTATCTTATCATTTATAACATTTTCATTGACAGGAGGCAGACTAGACGTTGAAATCATTTTCTCTTCTTTAGCCTTGTTCAACCTTCTCCGAATTCCTTTAATGTTCTTGCCAATAGGTATAACTTCTGTTACTGATGCATACGTAGCAATTAATCGAATAAATGACTTTTTACAGGCTGATGAATTATCGGTTTTACCGGGAATCAATCCGGACGAACAATATGCTATTAAAGTTACTGATGGTGAATTTATTTGGGAAAGTGCTCCATCAGAAGAAATTATTGATAATTCAAAAAAAGAAATGAAAAATGAAAAAGGCGATAAGAATGGAAATGATTCTGCACCTGTTATTGTTAATGTAAAGGCTCCAGACACCTCTACAGCTTTGACACCTGATGATTTGGCTGAAAACTTTGAAAATTCTCATCAACTTTCTCCAACATTTCAACTCCGTAACATTAATGTTTCAATACCTCGTGGAAAGTTAATTGCCATTGTTGGTTTAGTAAGGTCTGGTAAATCTTCATTATTGTCAGCTCTGATTGGTGAAATGAAAAGAATTAAAGGAGAGGTCTTATTTGGTGGAAATGTTGGGTATTGTCCTCAAACTACGTGGATTCAAAA